CTGCCGCCAACGCCTCTGCTCCCATCTGAGCTGCTCCAGAGCTCGGATCTAATGCAAGGTAAGACTCTACTATGAAAGTGACAATGGCTTCCTGGCAGGCAAGGAGTTCGAACGAGGCGAATCTTGTTGTGAGTCACTCACATTTGTTCTCTCAACGAAACTGTTCTTGTGATATGTTCGAATCGAGATCTGCTGGTGACAATTAAAGAAGCATCCGACACGCCCCAACTATATTCAGTAGTTCGCGTGCATGTGCGGCTGTTGTACAGTTCCGGATAAAGTTTTTTCGAGTAGACATCGATAGCGTTTTGTTGAGCCTTCTGACCGCGTTAGGTCTTGTCTGCGATCTTCTCCTTGCAACACAGTTACAGGCGTCCCTACAGGCTCGGGCCTTAAACGTAAAGCATTGCTTGCTTTTAGCGTCTCCGAAGGAGGCATTCGCGAATGGTCCTTTCCCGTCTACAGATCTGGGCAACCACGTTTCCAACGAGTCGCAAGTTATTCCCTGCCCCTACTGTCACCAACAACCAGACAATCAAGAACATCTTCGCCTGCGATTTTCCCGTGCCATGTTCGTGCCCGTTATGTGCAGGTAAACTCGAATTATCTTCCTCTCTCGGAACTTACCGCCAGGACGTACGCCCAGAGCCGAAGAATTATGATTCTTCAGCGGGGTAAGTCGTAGCCCGACCAAATAGTCTACCAATAAACGACTGGTGTCGTCACCTTCAGCTCCAACACTTCGGCGATGTCGTCCGCCGATTCCGGCTCGGGCGCGTGTCCCAGAACAGCCGAAAGTGCAATCGCGCTCCTAAGCGCGTCAGCAGGGTCAGTCAACGACCTCACCCCGGTTGAAAGCGACGAAAGGTTGGCCCGGAGAGAAGAGACAATGACCTGCTTGGTACCATCAATACGTCATGAAGAGAGGGTTATGGTGGTCTTGTTTTATCGACAAATACCTAGGAGGTTTCCCCGTGTTCAGAACAAAATTCCTGAGGCGGACATGCTGTTGGCCAGACATTTTTGCAACCCACCAGGAAAGGCAGCAGATTACCGTCCAATATATTTTGCTTTGCCCTACTTGTTGTTGGTTGGCCAAACGTTTGTCAATGGGAAATCATACATGGAAGCATCAGAGCTCCTGCCCCCCCCCGACAGACACAAAAAACCAAGAACCACACCTGCTCCGGGGGATATGAGACGATCGACAGTGGCACTCCATCCATGCCAAGGCTCGTGACGGCCGTTGACCCATGGATATCAGAGACAAAGGCCACTAACGTAATGTTGAATGCGTAGAGGGTCGTTCCGGGCGGTAGGTGCGTGAGAAGGGTGCTCGATGATGACGCCCCTGACGATAACCTTGATATCCATTGTTCGCTGCATGTTCAATAGAGTGGAAAGAGACAAAGGAGAAAATTCGCCGACGTCGCTCAGTGAGAGTAGTGCGTGAATGGCCGTCCTCGAACAGAGCTTCAACCGGGCACTGCGGCTTGCCGACGTCAACGTGAAGCAAACCCTGGTGTAACGCACACACAAACTCGCGCGCGTCATAAGAGATTGCAAGCTTTCTACGGTTGTGGCTCACCATTACTCAATATGGGTTGCACACGCCGGGATGCGCGATACTTAGTCCACAAGCAGCACATATCCGAAATTGGGATTCTGCGACTTCATGGTGTTACCTATTCACCGAAAGGACTTCATGCGATCCGTGCGTATAGCCGAACTCGTATGTCATCGGAAGATCCTCAAAGTCGTCCGTCCAGCCCATAGTGTGAAGCGCCACCGTAGTTTCTCCGGCGTACACCTGGAGTAGGTCCGAGCTGACGTATCCTCCCACGGGAGCAGCGTTGGTTTCGAAAGAAAACTCTGCATCATCGCAGATAGAATATCGCAGAGACATAGTCGGCATCATAACATGATACCGTTGGGTACTTCCTAACTTCAGTTCTGTGAGGCCAAGCGGACGATAAGCCCATAGTTTTGCGTGACGACTTCACATATTCGAACCTAAGGTGACTCCTTCACGTATTGCGCGGTCACGACCTCGGTTTGAGGGATGTTAGTGACAGATTTATATTGTCGTGGTGTGGATAGTTTACCAGAATAGCCGGTGCTGCCAGACGATCCTGTCGCGGTCATTGCAAACGTGTACGTACGACCTGGCGAAAGAGCCCCGGCTCGCACAACGAGAGTTGGGTGGCGATCGCTAGTGCGAAAAACTTGATCGTTCTCGCCGGACGAATCGCCATTCGGCAGCCCGATGTTGCTGTCAACCTGTGGTGGTATGCAGAGAGTGTACAGCGAAGCACTCAGAACGACTTGCGACTTCGGCGGACCTCAGCTCAGTACGGAAACGACGACTTGAGGGGCTATCAAGTCGATTCTAGAGTCAAGGGAGTTCGACCAAAGAGTTGATGTGCAAGGCGTTGGGTCGAAAGCTCAAGTTTGTGTTCTCAAACCTGTTCCCACTCGAAGTCAAAGCCCGCCACAGTGCTGTTGCTGCAGTGAGACTCGGTGGATGTGGCCGCACACCCGTACAAGACCAACCTCTTCGAAGGGCTATATTTCCGGCGGATCTCCTGCGGAGCGATCGCGGAAACAACTCTCATGGCCTTCTTTTCTTGGAAATCAACAATATTTAGGATCGCGAGAGGCGTTCGCCACCAATGGTGATCACCGTCATTTGTTGGTGTTTGGCGTTTAGGTGCTTGGAATATTTCAGAGTCCTACTGGATTATGAACTCCATCGGGAACACCACCTACATCGCTTTGAACTGACGTACCTTCGGGGTAATTGAGACGTATGGAACATCAAGTACCGTCGTGGAGATGATGCACGATGCATTGTCGCTGCGGTACTTCGACCATGGCGTGCTGCCATCGCCATGCTTGAATGCAGTGACCGTGAAGACATACACAACACCTGCCGGTAGGAGGCGTCACGTTGTATGGCGGAATATCGGCACAAAAACAGGCAAAGTCGGAGTTACGTTCAACACCCGCCAGTAAGTACCAGGCGAGTCGCTTGTCGGTGTTACAAGAGCAACACGGTAACGGCTCTGGCTTCACCGCCGCCGTGAGCGACTGCCTGATAATATTGACGGACTGTTTTTAGTAATGGGAAATAGACACAAGTGGGTATACCCACCCCTTTCTCGGACAAAAGTGGGTACTCGAAAATCCAGCGTGCGCGCACTCCATAGGCGACCCCCAAACGACTCAAAACCCCATTCTGACACCTGGGCGACACAGCCAGGGACCATACACAGCATGGGCATCGATTTTCCCCCACTTTTAGGCACACCTTTGGCCCAAATACCGCCGACGCGCGCAAGGCCTCACCAGAGTGCCCACTTATGTCCGACATCGCGGTGGGTATACCCACCGGCGTCAACTATTAATAATTCTTTCATGTACCCACTTGTGTCTGTATTTTGACCCACTTTTGTCCAAATTGTACCCACTTTTGTCCACTTACGGACGGCGGAAATCGAGCGGAAATCGACCTCCACGTCACCGCACGGCAGAACATCGAATAGACTCGGAACGTCTCAGAACCTCCCAAAACCATATCCATGGCATCTTTCCTATCCATGGCTGCCGACTGCGGACCGACCACGGAGGAACATGTCAGAAACATGCCAGACCCCTTCGGTACCGGCACGGGAAGATACCAGGCACGGGAAGATACCCGCGGCAAGCCGACTGCTGCCGTGACGAGTCGGTGTGCACTTGTCGTGGTGGTTAGTGTTTTTGTGTGTGTGTGTTGTTGCTGTTTGCGCGTCTTTTTGGTCTGTACGCTCGACCCGTTGGTTGTGTTGTCCGTTGTGTGTCACGCATTTATGTGTGGCGTGCCGTTAGTGCGCTGCTTGCCGGGCTTGCCGCGGGTATCTTCCCGTGCCTGGTATCTTCCCGTGCCGGTACCGAAGGGGTCTGGCATGTTTCTGACATGTTCCTCCGTGGTCGGTCCGCAGTCGGCAGCCATGGATAGGAAAGATGCCATGGATATGGTTTTGGGAGGTTCTGAGACGTTCCGAGTCTATTCGATGTTCTGCCGTGCGGTGACGTGGAGGTCGATTTCCGCTCGATTTCCGCCGTCCGTAAGTGGACAAAAGTGGGTACAATTTGGACAAAAGTGGGTCAAAATACAGACACAAGTGGGTACATGAAAGAATTATTAATAGTTGACGCCGGTGGGTATACCCACCGCGATGTCGGACATAAGTGGGCACTCTGGTGAGGCCTTGCGCGCGTCGGCGGTATTAGGGCCAAAGGTGTGTCTAAAAGTGGGGAAAAATCGATGCCCATGCTGTGTATGGTCCCTGGCTGTGTCGCCCAGGTGTCAGAATGAGGTTTTGAGTCGTTTGGGGGTCGCCTATGGAGTGCGCGCACGCTGGATTTTCGAGTACCCACTTTTGTCCGAGAAAGGGGTGGGTATACCCACTTGTGTCTATTTCCCTTTAGTAATTCTACCGGTTCCACTCTCACACACGGATCCAGGTGAATCTTGAGGTCGCCGCTCACCAGACGGAAACGATTCCGGAGGGATGGAGAGAATAGCGCCTTCAACGAAAGCCGAAAGATCCAATATGTCGCTCGCCCTCGAGACGCACGCACCCCCGGATTCGCTCTCGCAATGCCAGGTGTAGGCGAACGGAATAATGTCTATGCCATCCGTATCGACAGACGTCGACGCATCCAGCTGCAGAGTCTGTCGGGCATTGCGGTGCCGTGATGATTTGATGACGGGCGAGGTAGCCAAAAACAAAACTTTAAGTCATTTCTACAAGGGCAAGCCCGTCCGTCGCTTTGGAACTGACCATGGGCGGATAGCAGTATTGGCGGAAAAAATTGCGGTGCGACGTACACTTTCATATTTTTTCGCACCCAAACCAGAAACAGTGCGGGAAGGGTAGGCTTTTCCGGGACGTTCAACTACGTTCTTGCCTGCCAAACTCCAATGCTCCGCTTTGTTCCTCCGGAGATAGCCGCGACTATCGGCCCACTGAGTATCTCGACTACGGGGTTGGAGCGGATCAAGCACGTAGAAACGAAAATTAGAGTGCGACATGTTTTAGCAATAAAAATAGTGATTCTGACAGCACATTCAACAACCGTTGGTCATGTGCTACGCCTCCTTCCCAAACCGAGCTGCGGAGGGTGAAGGATGACATGAGGTAAACTGCTTCATTTCAAGTCTTTTCGGAGACGTCTTCTTGCAGATTGCAAACATATGATCATGCGGCAACGATCCTAGCGTGATCTGTGATGTGGTCCCGACCATGTGTCTAAGCAACATGTCATTGTTTTCAGCCCTCTAGTCAACTCTTCAACAGGGTGCTTCCGGTGCGAAATACTGCCGATAACTGATGTCACGTAACACGCCAATCTATCCAAACTACGTGTCCCGATAGAGACGAACCGAAATCTTCACTTCGCGTTCAGCCAATAGCAGACAACGCCGCACGTGCGCGCTCGACGACCTGACTTACTGGTTGCGTTGGCGGTATTGGTAGTTTCGGTGCCAAATGCGGTCCTCAGTTGGAACAGGTACGTGCTTCCTGCATAGCCCAACGTGTGAGACGGGATGACAAGAACACGCGGGTCTCGACCGACGTCCACCACCACCTCCGGCGTTCCTTCGTACGATTCATTGGCTGAAACCAGCCTCCACGAATATGATGCGGGTGCCTCGTTAGGCGTCAAAGTAGAGCACGAAGAGAGTTTGGTCTCGCTGCGGAGAACTATTTCATTTCCGCGGGTCCGTTGTAGAGCTGATGATCCCACGATCTAGCGCAATACCGTCCAGATCCGGTTGAGGAACGAAGTATGGTGCGAAGGCAAGCGTGTGGGAAGGTATTGAGGTCCTCTCGGGTGCAACCGAAAGTGATGCATCCGATTTCGGGGCATGCAGTGGCCCTATCGATCGCCGAGCTTTCCCATGCCTGTCCCACAGCTGAGCCTTTGCCAAACACACCATATCACAGCTGGAAAAATACGTGAGCACATTCACAATTCCTTACCTGCGAGACAAGCAGCCCAAGGGAGGATTTGTACACCTCCACCACCGCTTCTGAAGAGCCCCCAAGAACTGTATCCACTCTTAAGACGAAGGAGAAAGTGTTTTCCACAGCGAGATGCTCGCTCGGAATCGTCACCGTTAGCTCTTTGTTAGAGCTAGCCTGTGGTACCGGGGGGGGAAGATGTTCGGTGTGTCAGGTTCATGACTCGAGGTGGTGCTGGCAGCTTGGCTGACTGAATCAACTTTGGGGTGGTATGAGGTGAATAGGTGGTAGTATCGGCAACAGGGAAGGTGCGGGAAGGGGATATGTCATGTATGCTTGTCATCATCACGTATGCCGTAGTAAACAACATGTCGTGCGGCACACCTCTTCCAATACCCTTGAAACGTTTGAGAGGTCCACGGTCGGGTCACTTCCTGCGAGGGCGACTTCCCATGTCACGTTGGAGCTGCCTGTGGCGCAGCAGCAGCAGGTGGATAAAAATTCGCGAATGACATGTCGCGTCAAGAGTGTTTGGCGCTCGGGCATGGGTGTTGCGAACGAAGTTCGCGTCCTCTCTGTCTCACCCTGGTTCAGGGCACTCTCGTCTTACCTATCGAGGGCATGGTGGCACTTCCCTCGAGCGTGAGGTCGTCGCAGTATCCAACGGCACCGGGGGCGCTAATGTCCACGAACGGCGGGTCTGGGTTAGCGGGGTAGTTGACAACCACGCATGCTGCTGAGGAGGTAAGAAATGCCCCGATCTGCAACCAAAAGCGGATCGTAGGAGGAAAGGGCAAAGTATCGGTCAAGATTCGCTCTGGTGTCAATCTTCGTGGGTCTCGAGCGAAACTGTGAGGCCCGCAACGTAGCGACAGCCGGGCTTCTCCACCAGCCATGCCAAGCACGCAAATTCCCCTTACTTCAGTTCGAACCACGCCGGCCAGCAGCGTTAGTGAGGTTCCATCTCCGTCCGTACAGCCTTCGCTCGACGAGGGAGCGATCGTCGACAGGACCCCAAGCGTTACCTGTTGAGGAAGAGGATGGAATCAACTATTGTGTTGGAGTCGTGCGCATGAGGTATTGCATCGATGTACCAGTTAGCCGCGGTCGGTTTGAACTGACTTTCATCTTTGGCCGGCGGTGTGCGAGAGGACACCCTGAACACAAGGTATACGGTGTACAGGCCGTCACCTGTTGGTAGAAGAACCATATCGCGCAGAAAGAAGGGACATACTAAAGGGTGTACTTGTGTAACCTCGGATCAATGCTCTTGTTTGAGCGGCAGGGTCACATTGCAAGGAAGCATTGCAGACGACAGCACCGAGAAGGGACACACAAAAAGGTGTTCCGGTGTAACCTGGGATCGATGCTCTTCTTCGAGGGGCAGGGCCACAGTGCAAGGAATAATCCCGGGCGATAGTATCGAATGAAAGACGGGATGATAAACATCATGCTAAATCACATTTCGACATCCAACCTGGCCCCGAAGATGTTCCAACAGCAGGGTCGCCCTTGCGTATGGCATCTTCCCCCACCTTGATACTAGAGCCAGACGAAAATCGGCAAGTGTGTCCAATTCCAAGCGTAGACGCCGACGCAGCAGAGAATACAGATTCACACGGAACAGCATCGAAGGTACCGTTGATTTCCTGCGAAGACGGGTTGCCTGTAAAGCCAACCGTCACCTGCTCAAACACCAACGAAACAAATATGCATCACGAGAGTTCTATTTTGTCATTCGGTGAAAAAACACTAAGTCAGGTTGCTCAGATGACAAGTCTCAGATCCGTCTGTGTTTCATCATCTCACAGGCACACCATCGAGCAAAAATCACCTGGGCCCCTGTGTCGGTGAACTGGGCGGAAGACAACTCTGGTGGAAGAGCCCGGCCCAGTACAAGAGTAGAGCCTATGCGATCGGTGTAAGGGGGAAGTCAACAGCGTTGGAGTATCGTGTGTTTGTCGGATACCTTTCGAAACAAAGGCATTCGATAGACAAAACAAACATGGCTTGCCTGACAAGCTAGTAAGTCGCTCAATAGGCTCGAAGAAAACGAAGGCGAGCGACAGTTGATATCGCAATACTTGTATTCAAATGAGGAGGAAAGGCTACATGATGATTCACCTGAAGCGTATTGTGTACACGTTGCGCATCCGGCAATGTAATCGCCACTGAGAACCACGGTGCTATTCTCTGCCAAGGTGTAGCCTGTGACGGGGAGTGCGACACAGGGGTTTTTGGTGAGGTGCCAAGAGGGCGTACAGGAGACATGGCGTATGCCATTCTCGCCATGCTCGTATAATAGGTGCCACGCCCACGAATACTGCACTACCGTAGAAGGAAGTGGGGTACGCATAACGATGTAGCCACGCTCAACGCGCTTGACTCCACCCGGGACGCACAAGCACATCGCATGGCTGTCGCTGAGCACGCGTGTTCGCGGTGACTTGATTCTAGTATGGTATTTTGTGGGTACCGACCGAGGGGCGAGGAAGGAGCCATGTGACACCCTACCATAGCATTGCTAGAGAAATACCACAGCGACAGGTGTTACGAACAGCGCTCGTCGGAGGATAAGTAAATAAGTTACGTCCAACAAGCAGATGAGGGTAGTCGGCGAAGGAATAACAACAGTGGTCCGATAGCACGTCGCAAGTACACTCGTACATCAAGAAACGCCAAAGACCGACCTGTGCCGAATGTGACAACGACAGTACTATCATCCTTCCAGCTGCAAGATGCTCCAGTCCCCACCAGCACCACCGTGCCGCTCTCGAGCAGGTCAGATACGGAGCATGTACCTTCTGAGCAGATGTTCTCATGACACCATAGACCTACCCACATGACGAACCGGAGAGAGAAGGGAAATGTCAAAGCAATCGTGGTTTCTACAACACAATCCAGCGCGTCGCCATATTGAACGTTTATTTGCCTGTAGACGTGATTGCTTCCAGCCGCTTGACGTACCTAGGCTCCAGGGCCCAGGGTTGAAGACAATGTCGACACCGTGAACTGCCGCTGCAAGTCTCGCCTCCACCAATTCCGGCCGGGTGGATGGCACTGTCGGCGAAGGGGTGGGTACACTTGTAGGTGCTGGCGATGGCGAGGGAGTCGGAGCGGCTGTATAGCACACAGGACTGAAGACCACGATGGCGCCATGATAAGAGTCGTCTGCCATCGAGACGAAGAGCCTATCCGTCGAGCTGACCGTGAGTCCAGCCACTGTTCCTGTGGCATTTTCTATCTCATTGGTGACTTTGACCGTCGTTGCAGCAGAGAGTACCCCGGTCAGCGCGTTTCGCTGGAAGACAACAATCTGCCAAGTTGCGATAAGAAGTGTTCGTCAAATGGAAGTATCAGCCGACCTGCGAATGAACCTTAACGTTCTCAGCGTTCAATGTCGATTCGACGGATCGCAATGGGACGTCAGGACCATGTTGCTGTGCTCTCTCCAACTGTTGCCGGAATTAAGTGTTCATGTAGGCAATTAAATCTCGCCAGCGTCCCATTGTGTTTGGGCAGCCCGAAAATACAGTCGAGAAACAGGTGTCAGTGACAGCAACAACCTCCTGCAGTCGCATTTCTTGAGAATCCCAAAGAATGGGGCGTGATGTACAATAGGGATGTGCATTGTAACACGGCATGCTTTCCCAACTCGGTCCCGAGGCCATTTCCGCGCCTGAGAAATCTTGGACCTACCGCAGGGCCAAAACAAGTGGATTCATCTGCAGGCGCTTCTCTACGAGAGTCCAGAAGGCATTGTATTCGTTCGAGCTCCGCCAATCGATGTCAATACCAGCCTTAGACTATCGATATCACATCGATGGCACAAAGGCAGGTCATCTTTCCGTGTGCGCATACACATAGGATGTTTGGTGTCGTCAACATGTTGCATTACTTTGTGCGAAGGGACCCGAGCTCAATCCTCCGCACCTCATCCGAGTCAGGACGTCCGACCACGACAGCAAACTCAAGCGCCTGTATAACAAACACCCCCCCCGATGTGCTTCCTTCGATGCTTGAATCGGCAGTGTAGTACGCTGTCGACACAACCTCGCCTGTCGTTTCGTCAAGCTGGAGATGAACAACTACAGAGTCGGCGCAGCCTAGAACATAAACCTGGGAGGGGGGTGTTTAGTGGGGGGAAATTCCTCCTAGGATTCAATTCGTGAGGTGTTCGGAAAGGGTGTTTACGCCTTCCCACGGTTTATTTGGGAAGAGAGGGGCAAGGGGTAGCCGAGGTGATGGCGCAACGAATAAACGGTGTCGGATAGAAAGGACTTCGTCACAAAGTTGACCCCGAAGCACCCTGAAGGTGACAAGGGAAAGCGGTGTGAATAGAGCTTCGAGAGCGGGGAAATATTCTTCTTCAATCGCCTGACGTGTGTAGATCGTCGTCCGAGACTGCGTGTCGCGTTCGTTACGAGTTTTATTTTACCAGCAAGAACTGCCAAAATTGATCGTGCTTAAGGGGAAACGGCAAAACTCATGATTCTACCGGGTGCTAGTCCCACGTCCTACTAAGGTATGCTACGGTAGTCATGTTCGGATCGCACATCGGGTGTCGCTTGTGGAATTGGCCCTCACTGTTGCAGAGACAGGAGACGGTGGGCATCCAGAGCTGTAGTTGCAGCTAGCAGTATAGCACATGTCGTTGACGATAGTGTATACTTCTGATGATTCTGCAATTGTACACGTTCGGGCTCACCGAAAGCCCACTTGGAGAAACCACGATGTCGCACAGCTCACTGTCCGCCACAGCCGCAGACCACAGGGGAGGGTCGGTATTGTCTACCTCACTATCGAATGAAAATACAGTTTCGGCGGCCGTTGCGATGTAGATAACAGACCCATCGGGGCTGAACGCCAAAGCCGTCCCGTCGTTTGACCCAGACTTCCCAAAACCGTAGTACCGCTTGGCAGTCCTATTGGTCCACACCATGTTCGAACATCAAGCGTACCACTAGAGCATCAGACGAGAGTCACGTGGGCATATTGCTGCACAAGTGACAACCTGCGGTAGGCGAAACCAAATTTCTCGAGGACGACAGAAAGTATCTAATGTAACGTGTCGCGTTGGGTTTGAGGCACCAATAAGCAGCGAAACCCTTGGCAGAGGATGTGCGCTACGTTGAACCTCGCTTCGACAAAACGATTTTTGGCTTCATCAACACTCCATGCGGCCTGTACGTCTCTCATCGCCTGGCGCCACGCATCAAAAACGAAACATCCTCGAGGATACAAGCAGATTGATTCTCCTCACCCGAAATCCCCGACGCCATTGAGGGAAAACCACCGCACTCCTCCGTGCTCTCCCAAGATTGCTGGTCGCGTTGTCGCATTGGGAAAATAACGCGGAGTAACAGGTGAGATAAGCGGGAAAAGGGGGATGAGTGGTGTACAGTTCAGAATACCCCAAAACTGTATTGTGTTTTCACGTGATGAACCACATGTTCTTTTACGATGACGGTGATGTTATTCGATACAAACCCCTTTGAAACAATCCGTGAATATTCCAAGGGGAGGACTAGCAGCAATTTGTTGTTGCAATCGTTCAAATTTCTGCACGGGCCTTGGCTATTCGCAACCTGGAGGACTTCTTGCCTACAACTCCTGTGGTGCTGACTGTCGATTCCACGACGAGATCTTCTTGCCCAGCAGTCTCGTCCTGGAGTTGAACTGAGCCGTTCTCGGTCAAAGGAAAGTTCCCGCTGTTGAATTGGTAGACGAACACGTCTTCGCTTCCCGTGTTGTTGCTGAAGGTCTAGATTCAGTTGATTGATAATAAGGCAACAAGGTGGTCAAACAGTATTCCTCCACGCAATGAATGAACGTTGACACTCATCCGGACACCAGGGAATCGGGGCTTCCCCGTTCGGGCCGAAACAGCGAGAGATATTGCCAACAAGTCTCAAGTGCGCCTTGCTCGCACGAGATGCGCCACGGTTCTCTTTTTTCGAAGAATTACTTCCACACACGCAGGTCGATGTCCTGTACACATTATGAATGTCGCGTTTATGTCGGTGACAAATGTCTAGTCGTCAAAGGAATGCCTCGTCAACTTTCCTTTCAGAGACAGGGAGAGCATTTTTCAGGAAGACTGCAACCTGCATCCGTCTCTCTCACAAGGATGATCTAAGATCTCAAGAAGGCGTTGATGACTTACGTAAACAGTTGGGAGCCCGGGATGCAGCATCAGGCCTCGCAGCTCTCCGGAAGCAGATGGTTTATCGTCTCCGTCTGCAACAGCGTACATTCCGTCGCTCTCAGACCAAGCCACAATCACCGTGTAGGAGACACCCACTGTCACAATCTGTTGTTTCCATTGATAGTGGGACGAGCCGAGGTATTTACAAGGACATCCAACAACAAACCGTCAAAGACATGGTTTTTAGAACACCATAAATAAAACGACCGCTGTTGAGCCAAGGGGTTCAACCTCACTCGCACCGGCAAACTTCTTCAGCAGCGTACGTGTAGTGCACACGGAAACTGAATCCATGCCACATGCCTGCATCCGCAGTAGCTTGAGCACACGGGACGTTGGGGCAAAAGAGTTGGTACAACACGACAACCCAACTGCTTGGCCGGGGTAGACATGCGAAGAGGCTGAGCCCCGAAAACCGTGTCGGTGTATCAGGTAGGGGTGATATGTAGAGGAGCCGCATCACGTACCTTGAAGAGTCCGCGGTGTGGTGCCAGTTTTCGTGCGTGGTTCAGTGACACCCGCTTTGCCAGAATACACCAATGTCGGCATACAGAGAGACCCACCTGCTGCTGTCATGACTAGAAAACATACGATTGAATATGCAGTCTACCGTTTGTGTTTCTAAGCGGACCTGCCATGCAGCTTGGTTGGCGGGTACTGTCTTACGGAGTCTAGCACTCTTTGTACCACGTGTGGTTGCGTAAGAATTTCGGGGTCAGCAGGGCCAAAATTCGGTGCGGAATCAGCATGTCGGACCTCGGAAAACATCAGAAATTGCCACCAAAGGAAACAAAATCCATCTTCTTTGAAACTCGGCGCTGCAACGTCTCTCGCATTGTATACCACGCGTGCACAAGAATCCGCTCTCACCAACGTTTCGTCTTGCGACACCACGATTTGGTGCCCATGCGGTTCGGTGTCGTGACTAAGGTCTGCCCAGACCTCTTGCTCGAGTTGCAGACTGTACATAGGAAAAAACGTCAGCCGACGGACGTGCGTAGAAGGCGAAATATTGAAGCCATGAATGCTCTTCATAGAGTAACACGGGAAAACCAAATGAGTAATTTAGAGGCGCATTCTTGGAACTTAATCGTCAGCAGCGATGCGTTTGTGCTGACACGAAACAGAGTTGGTGCATACACACCTGCACCCCTCCGTTGGCGTGGGCGCTGATGCAGCAGTTGGTGTTGGAGTTGAACACTGAAACAACAAGGACACAGAGGTGCGGTGTTAGCCGCTTCTTGGTTGTGGAGAACAAGCTTATTCAGCCTTCTCGTCAGCGAAGACCGTGCAACTTTCACAAATAGCTCCACCTGATCGAAAGATCTCCAGAATTTCAGGAACACATCGGCAGCAGCGGGGTCGGGCGCACGTGACTTTCATTTCAACTGATAGGTTTGGCCCTGATCGGCCAATTACTACACCTTCAACGTGAACTCATTCGCGTAAACATCGCACCTCCACATCCAAAACCACGATGCCTCCGGTTGAGTCAGTCCCCGCCATCGACACGAACAGCTTGTTTGTGATTCTGGATAAAGAGAGTCCAGCAAGTATGCCACCAACAGCTACATTTTCTTCGCCGAGTGATAGCGTTGCTCCATCAAACAGGACTCCGGTTGAGGCGTCCCTGTGGTAGAGTACAACCTGAAACGCGCCAATGGAGGATGCCTTTGGTGTTGACAATCACTATGATTATGAATCAGGAGCAGGAGGGCGTTAATGGAGGTTCGTTAGACAGACAGCACGAGTCATATCGGGTGTTGTGCTCAGCACCGTTCAAAACGGCATGTCGCTCAACAGAAAACGCTCTAACGCAGTCAAACACTTTGGAGAGTTCCAAGCCCTTCGACCGCAAATATCAAATCATCTCCCAACACCATTTATCCGGATGATTACCAGGTATCTGGAGCGACGTAGCGAACACATTCGATTGGTTCGCTTGGGCGCTCAAGAAGAGCCAACGACAA